ATAACCTCTTTGTTTGAAACGTGCACGGTAATTTGCCTTTAACAATTCCATTTTCTTCACAAAATCACTTCTGCGTGTGGATCCCTTGCAGTATTAATTTGCGAGTATTATTATTGTCTTGTGAACGTATTTGCAAATTACACACATACTTAATAGCAGTTGGGTGGCGAGTCACTTTTACGGGGGCCTACCCAAAACGACTTGGCGTTTTCCAAGCAAGCGTGACCAAGTTCACTTGCATAATGTGCCAGTCCAATGAGCACAAGTTACGCAGCTGTTCCCGCTTCTTAAAGATGACACCATCTGAAAGAATAGAGTTCATGAAAAACAATAACTCTTGCTTGAACTGTCTTAAGTCTGGACATACTGTGTCAAGATGCACATGCTCGTTTAATTGCAGCAAGTGCCACTCCCGACACCACACGCTCCTGCACCTTGAGACTGACCAGCAAAAGCCTACAGCGCACCAAATGCCGCCAAGCTCAACTGGTAATCGAGCATCTTCATCGAAGCAAGCACAAACAAGACGCAAGACAGGAAAACCAAATTCAACTGGGGACAAAAATGTCAAGTCTTGTTTTGCAAATTCAAATACTGGTGTGCTCCTAGGAACAGCGCGCGTAAATATACATTATAATGGAACCGATTTTTCTGCAAGAGCTCTTATTGATTCCGGGTCTGAGTGTTCCTTTATAACGGAAAGACTCAAACGCCGAATCAACCTGCCATCCAAAAGGTTGCATGCCCAAGTTTCCGGCATCACAAATTCCATATCGGCGCAGGTCAAAGAAGCATGCAATATGGAAATACGGTCACCGATTGACCCATTATTCCGGTCGAATACCACTGTGCTTGTCTTAGCACAACTAACTGGAAATCTTCCAACTACCCATATTAGCGCTGAAACTAAACAAGCATTCCCAGATTTGGTTTTGGCCGATAAAAGGTTCTTTGTTAATGAGCAAGTGGACCTTGTGCTTGGAGGAGATATTTATCCAGAAATCATTTTGAGCGGCTTGAAGAAAAATGTACTTAATACTCTTCTAGCCCAAGAAACCGTGTTCGGTTGGATATTAACCGGCCGCCCAGATGCAACAAGTGCAACCAATCATATTGCTTCATACTTTAGCGAAGTCGCCTTGGATAAGCAGCTTACTGCGTTCTGGGAAGTAGAGGATCTGCCGAAGAGCAAAAGCCTAAGTGAGGAAGACAAGTACTGTGAGGAGTTGTACAAGAATACAACTCAACGTACCAAAGACGGGAAATATGTAGTTTCGCTACCATTCAGGCAGGATTTTCCAGAGAATGTCTGCCTAGGACCCTCCCTAAAAAGAGCGTGCTCACAATTTTTCCGACACGAGACGCGATTGGCCAAGGATCCTGGACTACAAAAGGAATATAACAGGGTATTATCGGAATACGAATCGTTAGGGCATATGTCAAAGCTAATTAAATAATATACCAGCAGAGTCCTCCGACAACTATTTCCTGCCTCATCACGCGGTCATCAAGGCAGAAAGCACGTCAACAAAACTTCGCGTGGTTTTTAATGCCTCAAGTCCGACGGCAAATGGTGTAAGCCTCAATGATGTACTGCTCCCAGGACCAGTACTCCAGGCGGATCTTCCCATATTAATCCTACATTGGAGATTATATAAATACGTCTTCAACAGCGACATCGAGAAGATGTACCGGCAAATTATGGTGCATGAGAATCACACTAAGTTCCAGAGCATACTTTTTCGTACCAATACGAACGAACCGATCAGTCTTTACGAGCTGAAGACGGTCACTTTCGGGGTTAACTGTGCTCCTTACTTGGCAATAAAGACACTTTTACAACTAGCTGATGATGTGGAAAACTCCTCTCCGATAGCATCCAATATTTTACGAAGATGCATGTACGTCGACGACGTTCTAGCGGGAGGACACAGCATTGACTCTGCGATAAATGCCAGAGATGAAATAACCCAAGTGTTAGAGTCAGCCGGTTTTCCATTAAGAAAATGGACTGCCAATTGCGAAGATTTACTGAAAGACATTCCAAAAACGAATCTGCTAACCGAAGATTTTCTTGAATTCGAAGAAACTAGCGCAGTGAAGGCTCTCGGCATAAGATGGAACGCCCATACGGATTTATTCTATTTTATGGCGAGACCATTAGAAGAAAGCGATAATCCAACGAAAAGGGCGATATTATCAGCTATCGCCAAACTTTTCGACCCCCTGGGGTGGCTCGCGCCCATCATAATCGTAGCCAAAATACTAATGCAGGGTATTTGGCTGGAAGGCACGGACTGGGATGAAACCGTAACTCCAACTACCCTGGATCGCTGGAAAAATTTTACACAACATTACCATGAGATCGATAACATACGAATACCTCGATGGGTACATTTCTCACCAACAGATGACGTCGAAGTACATGGCTTCTGTGACGCATCGGAAAAAGCGTATGCGGCTGCTGTATATCTGCGCGTTACACAAAATGCAAAAGTTTTCGTAAGTCTACTTTTGGCAAAAACAAAAGTAGCCCCAGTAAAGACTATCTCATTACCTCGATTGGAACTTTGCGGCGCCGTACTGCTTGCAGAAATCATCGAGACGGTACTGAGAAATCTTGACTTGGGACATTTAAAAGCACACCTGTGGACGGACTCAACAATCGTTCTCGCGTGGATACGAAAGCCGCCTTGTTCGTGGTCGACCTTTGTCGCCCACAGGATAACAAAAATAGTAGAAAAAGTTGGTAATAAGAACTGGCTGCATGTGGATTCGGCATCAAATCCAGCAGATTTAGCCAGCCGAGGACTGCCTGCTTACGAATTGGTTGACAATCCCTTGTGGTGGCAGGGACCTTCTTGGTTACAAGAAGACCAAACTAAATGGCCGGTACAAGAGGCAAACTACAACACAATAGTCGAGGAAAAGAGGGTGCATTTGCACGCAGCAACTAAAATAAATAATGCAACTAATATTTTAGATAGATTTTCAGGATTGCCTAGGGCTTTGAGAGTTTTATCATATATTATAAGATTTTTTCAAAGAACCCATCCAAAAACAAGAGCTTCGTTTCGAGCCGAGACTTCTTTAATTTCCGCTGATGAAATTAAAATAACGACTCAACGCTTGATAAAAATCTGTCAAAAGCAACATTACTTTGAAGAGTATAGTAAATTGAAATCCGGGGAATCCATCGATGCGAAGAGTGAAGTTTTGCCCCTTAATCCCTTTCTCGATAGAGATGATATCATGAGGATGGGTGGTCGCCTCGGCGCGTCTCAAGATCTGGCCTATAATGAGCGCCATCCAATTATCCTTCCATACGATTGTAGATTTTCTCGCCTTCTTGTCCAGTTTGTCCATGAGATTTCTTTGCATGGGGAAAACCAACTAATGTTACGTCTCATTAGGACGCAATATTGGATTCCCCGAGTCAAAAACATGATCAGGTCCATCATCCACAACTGCAAAGTCTGCACTATCTATAAGAAACGGTCACAAACCCAACTTATGGGTAACCTACCGAAAGAACGCACAACATTCTCGCGTGCGTTTACAAACACAGGTGTCGATTTTACCGGGCCCTTTGAGATTAAGAGCTATCGCGGCCGCGGTTGCCGCATTTCCAAAGGCTACGTTTGCCTTTTCGTTTGTTTTACGACTAAAGAAATTCACTTGGAAGCGACAAGCGATCTCAGCACTCCATCCTTTCTGGCAGCATTCGCTAGGTTTGTTGGTAGAAGAGGATGTCCGAAAAACATGTACTCCGACAACGGTACCAATTTTGTCGGAGCTTCTCGATCATTACGATCTGAAATGAAGGCGTTCATAGCAGAAGCGCGTGATAAAACCATATCGAAATATAGTCATCAAACACTTACATGGCATTTTATACCCCCAGCAGCTCCTCACATGGGCGGACTGTGGGAGGCGGGTGTAAAAAGTTTCAAAAACCACTTCAAAAAGATTGCATCCACCCACAAATACACCTTTGAGGAGCTCAGTACCTTATTATGCCGAGTTGAGTCTTGTCTCAACTCGCGACCGTTAAGTCCCTCATCGAACGAGCCAACTGACTTGGAGCCTCTAACTCCCGGTCATTTCCTCATAGGCGGTCATTTACTCGCGCCACCGGAATTAGATGTAAATGAAAACCCAGACTCCATAATAAATAGGTGGCAGAAATTAAAGGCTTTACATCAAACCTTTTGCAGGCGATGGAAGTCAGAATACCTATCCGAACTACAGAAGCGAATTAAGTGGAAAAATCCAAAGCAGAATATGGAGATCGGTGATCTCGTCGTTATAAGAGAGGACAATTTAGCGCCTAACGAATGGAGATTAGGCAGAGTAATCAACCTGCACCCCGGTTCCGACAACCGAGTGCGTGTGGTGGACATCACCACCGAGAAGGGTCAGGTAACACGACCGCTGGCAAAACTTATCCTACTGCCACCGTACAACGAGAGAATTGAGAAGCCACCGAATGCTTCTTGATTCTACCCCTTATATGATTACCTAACCCTCTCAACGAGACACCAACTACATCAATATTCTACTCCGTCAGTACCCATACTAATTCCACTTCTATACCTCATGAGAGATTCCATTGAAAATGTGAAAAAGTGTCATTGTCGGGTTTAAAATTATCGGTGAAAAATTGACGCCAGTCATACGAAATTTATATGAAATTCATATGTAATAATTGCATTTGCGCTTTATTTTAGTTTTGAGAAACATTCAAATTAAAGTAAAAAGGTAACGAAATGCGCGCAATTACCATATAAATAAATTCACTAAATTCTCCTGTGAAAGCTCTCCGACGCGGCTATTTAGTTTTTTCGCTATTGTGGCGACAATTTTGTCAGAGTGACAATTGCCAGCCCATTGCCGACAATATTTCAATATATATACTGTCGAAAAAATTTTCACAATTGCCTACAAGCGTATTTGAAATATAAAAAAAGGGGCAACAACAAAAACACAACACCACCCTATATCAACTCGCCTGGGTTTCTAACAACATGTTCAATAAATCATATGAAAATCTTTTCATCACTCACCTACACATAGCAGAGGCCCTCGAAGTCTAACCATTAGATAAAAAATCTCGCAATTCAGAAGAATCGTAAGACAGCTCCTCGTTGCAACCCGTATGTATTTCATCGCTTGACTGCGTGCTGCACGAATTTTCACGAGCACCAATATCTGTAATTTAAGCATAAATAAAAGTGTTTATTTAATTAAAACTATTGTAAAAATGTAGTGTTAACACAGCTAAACAAAACAAAGAAAATCACCATATCCGCAAATGAGCATTCAAGTAACTTTCAGAACGTACCAATAACAGGCCATGAACCAACTTGACGGCTGAGGTTATCAAATATCAAATAGGGGAAAAGCAACCACGATAAAGATGCCAGTAATGCTTAACAGTATGAATCGAGTACTAATTCTGGTTTTGCTATTTAGCTGTGACGCACTGGTGCTCGATAACTTTGACAAGAATGCAGCAGTCACAGTTCCTGCAACAGAAAATAACAGCCGCACTAAGAGCAATGTTCCTGTATCTTTAAGTAATATTAGTCTTAATGTAAATCTAAATGCAACCACTCAATTGCCGCTGGTAACCAAGGATTTTATCACTGCCAATGTAAATGCGCTTCCATTGCTGGTGCCAGCCTCGGTAGCCGGAGTTTCCGCTGCACCACAAAAAGTGCCTTTGCGACGCAATGCAACGGAGCCTAGCAATATTGGATCTATCGGAGTCTCTTCATCTTTTGGTCAAACAACAGCCAGCGTGTTTTTTTGCAAATTACAATAATCAACAAAATGTGCTGGAAGTGGTGCGTAATATTGACGCGCGATTGCGGATTATACGCAATGTAGAAATGCGCGTTGCCACAATACAGGAGCTATTTGATTCCGCGCATTTTAGCAGCAATGGCGTAGCGGCTAGCATGGGCGCTTTAAAAAATAATAGCGAATCATTCTACAATTCTGCGTCGGCAACACTGCAACATGACCTTCAGATATTCAGCAAACGACTTGCGAAGAAGCTGCAAAAGTCAACGCATGTGGTGCTGGAATTGTGAGATTTTTTTCGCTTCAACATTACAAAAGTGCTGCTGCAACAGCATCTCCAAGCAGCTGAATATGGGGACATAAACGACGAAGCCGAATCGGAGGAAGAAGATGCTGATGCAGATGACGAAGATGAAGATGACCGGAGTGAAGATGAGAGCGAGGAAGACGAATTCGATTTAGCAATCGATGATTTAGATGGTTTAATTGCTACTGGGCATGGAGTACGCAATCTGCATATGTATTTGCACACTTGCATACAAACATTTCAACTAACTGCCAGCGAAACTAAAAGAATTATCGCAACCGAATTAAATTACAACAGACAGCAAATACAAATATTAAACTATCTTAAGACTGATTCAGCAGT